GTGTGTTGCCCAAACTTGCCTACTTTTTCTATGAGTTTATATTAAAGCCATTTCGCCAAGCACTGTCTACAATGTCAACAGTATTTAACAATATGGTCTCTGTGATTGTAGAACCCGTTATCAATGTAATAAATGCAATTCCTTGCGCAATGTCAACAGCACACAAGGTCGTCGTATCTGTGACGCATGCTATTCATGGCGTATTGAGATCCGTATGATTTTTTTGCAATTGTATTAATATGTAAAAATAAACTAAGATAAACATTATCAGCGTTGTTCCTGTGGCATTAAAATGTGACATCTGGTCAAGCAATAAGAAACGTAAATAATAGCCCCAATTATCTCTATCACAGCTCGCGATAAGACTAACAAAAGAGCAAATCGACTTATCTGTCACAGTTTCTAATGAAATCAAAAGATGCTATCACAGATAGACAATGAATGGTCACGATATTGAAAAAAAGGCAGTTATGCGGGCAAAACCTATTTCAAACAGTTGAGTAGCTAAGTTTCGACTAGATATTCACAAGTCGTTTTGGAAAAGATTATCTTTCGCTCGTTTACGCAACCTGCAGTAAGGTCCTTGTTTGTATTATAATTTTGACACAGATCAAATTTATCTTTTACTTTTCAGCTTTTACTAAAAGAAAACGACAATAGTTTGTTTTCATTTCTTTCCACTCTGACTTGAAATACGCAACGTGGGTTTTTTTAATAAGAGATCAAATATTTTATTTTGTATTTTAATCATCAACCAGCTTAAGAAAAAAGAAATAAAAACGGAAAATGTTAAGCGTGAAGCTCAGATAAGAAGAGAATATGTTACTGCTTAAGCATTTTGTGTAGTCTTTTATTTTTTCTGTTTCAATAACTGCATCACCATATAAAGAAAATAAAAAAGAAAAGATAAGCTACTCCGCGGCGGGGAATCGAACCCCGGTTTCCCGCGTGACAGGCGGGGATACTAACCACTATACTACCGCGGACATTCTCATTCTCATGAAGTGAACTATACAATGTAAACGTCGTTCATCAATAACATGATAATATTTCAGCATTTAAACTTAAATGTTACTTATCGATATGAGCGCGATATCATATTAATACTCTTCATATATTTCTTCTCACTTGTATTTACATTAAAACATTTGTATGAAAGAAAAAAATTCTTCTTCATAGCCATGCGAATAAGTAAAAATAAAAATTCTAAACAAATAATTATGTGACAATTGCTTACTTTTTGCCGTTCTTTGTGCAAACAGACATTGCATCAGAGTAAAAATAGAACAACTCCGCAGCAGGGAATCGAAAAAGTTCAGTCACATTTTACGTGTAATATGCAATGAATAATGAAGAAAAGGATTGTAAAAAAGTGGTGATTTATAAGCGAATATGCCCTACCCTGGTCTTCGGTTCGACAAACCGACATACTCAAACCATTATACTACTGCAGACATTCATCTCTAGTCTCAACAATAAAATTATTTTCTTCGATTTACGCATTTCGTCTTTCAATAACATAATAGCAACCATTTTCCAATTGAAAAACTTTCCCGACTAGTTTAAATTTAAAAATTCACGTTGAGCTAAAAGTATTCTTTAAAATAATTAATAATTTATGTTAGAAATCTTAATGCTGTTTGAGTAGATGACGTTTAGGTACAACAAAACAATCAAAATCTTCTATGCTTCTCGAGGGCGTGGATGTGGATTTGCATGTTTTCTGTTCACAGTAGTAAAAGACCAATCTTTGCTAAGCCATATGAGTAAGTGTGGCTTATATTTAGACCTCAACCAATCCGAAAGGCATGTATGGTTGAAGACAAAACCTGCATCCACACCCACACCCTTTTGTTTTTCAATAACAAAATATAAAATTCCGAGAAAAAAATCATTGAAAATTATTGAAAAAATTTATTCCTAAATAATAAATTTGACTCAATTCTAAAAAAAGACAGTAATCAAACATTAAAAGAATAAATTGAAAACGTTGAAAACATAAAAGTCATTTAGAAAAACTGTTTGTATGATAGGGTATAAAAACAACAATAAGATTTTTTGATAAAGTTTATTTTTAGTTTTTTTTATCATTTGAAAATTATTTTTGTTGTTTTAATCAAGTTTTTTTGACAGTAGACTTTCAACTAAACGAGAAATAATCAATCCTATATACAAGAAAACAATTAAAATATATTCAATTGAAATATTTATTTCAATTAACTAGCCAATCACTAGTGTCAAAGTTGAAACTTGAAATTTTAATTGAATTCAAGTTTCAAGCTTCAACTTTAAGAATTAGTTAGAGTGCATTCCTGCTTATTATTATAATATCCAAATAGTAGTTTACGTCTTATGATGATAGAACAAGTATTTTCTTTTTAATTATAAGATTTCACGCATACGACAGCAATAAAGAAATGTTGAATGTTTTAGCTATTTTCTTCCTATATGATATTTCACTTGCTTGTTAATACTTTAGAGCAAGATATATTTGTATTGCTCATAAAGCATCTTTGAGAAAAGAAAAATATAACCTGTAAAATAACAACTTTATAATTCTAGGTCATTTTTAAAGGATGTATTTGTGTAACTACTTATCATATATTTATCATTAAATCAATACCTATTCTCCTACATTTTCGAAATGGTCTTTTTTTCAATTTCTTTATTTGAAACAATACTGGTCATGATGCTATGATATTATTTCCAAAAAAAATTGAACCGAAGTAGTATAAACGTTAAGAGTGTTCCTAGAAAATATAATCACTCTTGTTTTGTCCAAGTGCTTAAACTGTTGAAAGAAAATAATCGATCACATTGTAAAGATACTTGCATTTCGGTGGTTTTCTAACTCAACGAACTTAAATTCATTAGATAACTCTATTTATGATATTCTTAGTGAAAGAATTAATTATGAAAAGGTCAAAACACTGGAAGATCTGAAAAAAGAAATAAAAGAAGTATGGAAAAAACATTAATATAAATTATGTTCACAAAAAAAAATCGATTTTTGTCTTTAAAGAGTTTCAGCAGTTGAGCAGCACTATGGTGATTATATTTTCTATGAGCATTGATAATTTTTATATGACTTCACTTCAATATTTTTGTGTTTGGACAGAATATCATAATATCATGAAGAATATTGTTCGAAATAAAAAGAAAAACTTTTTCGTTAATGTTATTTTCATTTTTGTTCCTCTTAAGAATAATAGGACATTTTATTCCTATATAGTGCTTCAGTTTTATAGAGAAGTTAGGTTCGAATCTTTCAAAAAAAAGGATCAAGATTACATGATATTTTTGTGATTAGAGATTCGTAAAATAGCCAATGTTGCAAGCAGTTTATCTCATCTGATATTTTATGCTTGTTTGGATACGGTGAGTTTCTATTTTGTGAGGAAGAAGATTATCGTAAAATTCAGATATCTTGGTCAAAGCACAGCAAGAGCAGTCTATTTTAAAAATTTGTTAGTTTGATTGTGAGACTTATGAGTTGATCCGAATATTTCTAACGTTATTAACGAACAACATACAAACAACTTCATTATTAGGATTTTATTTACTTTAGATATAGTTTTATTATTTGTTGACCAGATTGAGCTGGAAACAAGATTGATGTATGCTCATGAGAAACCTTTCTTCGCAAAATTAATGTTTTCTATTTTTCGTTTAGGAACTAAAAACAGAGGAATTATTATGAAATTATGTGAATATGTAAACTTTATCATTTATCTATTTCTTCAGTCATGAAGAAAAATTATTAAAATAACAATAATTTATTTGTGTATACTTTTACACAAGATACATTGGAAGTTAATTCGTTGAATCGTTCAATAATTAAATAAAGTGATGCATGCAAATTGAATAAGACATCGACAATATGTAGTCGATCGAAAATATTTCAATATTTACTAAAAGAACAAGAAATATAATGGAACTGAGAAGTTCTCAGAGTTTTCATAAAGATAGATGGAAGATATTCCTGTCAATGGTAGAATGGTACATGATGCGACAGGACCCATACTCGTGATGAACATTAGAAAGATATTGGGTGGTGAACGAACAGTGTGGTAGCGAATGAAACTGACTACAAAAGTGATAACACATAATAATATTTCAACGGTTCGAGCTGCATTACAATTCACCAGTGTTGAACGACTCCAAAATTTAGAATCATCTGGCGAGAGATTCTCATCGTCGTTTATTAAGGTATAGTTGAACGACATAGCAAACTTAAGTATGTTTAGATTTCCAAAAAACGAAACTTCCAAAATTAATTATAAATTCCTACAAAGCATGCAGAATTATCCAATAATAAAAAAAAAAGGAGGGAGCTCGTCAAGTGATGAAATCGGTTAGTTCTCGAAATTGAGTTTTTTATTTTCTCAATAGTTAACTCAGACGTCAATTGTCTTTCGAATTAGACGATTAAATCTCATTTTGGTTGTGCACGACTAACTCAAAATTATCTATTCTTTATAAGTTGATGCTATGCAATATTTCTATGAAAAATTTCCCTCTCATCTTCAATTGGATTAATTTGAGTTATTTATCGAATAAAAGCTTGCTCTTTTCTTCATCGAACGGGTGTGGGTGTGGGGTGTAGGCGTGCGTGTCGATGAATACATTACATCAGAACTCATAACCATACCCATATTCCACCTATCCCCACACTCCTTAGAGGAAAGGTGAGGAAATGATGAATAAGAGAAAGCAAGAGCATGCAATCGACGTGATGGCGAGAAAACAAAAGAGTAAAACAATCTTTAGGTGAACAACAGAGATGAATAGTAATAACTGCAAATGAATGAAGAGAAACAAAACAAAAAATTTATTAGTTAGATACACATCATATGGAAGGCACACACATGTAGAAATTAGTAATTTAATTTGAACAGAAAAGACAAATATAAAGTCTTCGCATGAAATATATTTTTTCTTGAGTAGTGCAACCTAGTTCTTCTATTTTGTTAAGTCGGCGCAAAAGTGTTCTACTGCTCTCAGGATTGCTCAAATAAACATACATGCTTGTGCGCTAATGAAGAAACAACATATGGAACCTGTTTCGATCGTGATTCTTCCATCACTCCTTTAGTAACCTCACTCAATACCATACGAATGTCTTCATTAGGGGTTTTAATATGTGATAAAAGATGCTTCGTAAATAAACCGTGTTGCTGCCGGCCTGCAACGATTGCAATACATCCAGGCGCACAAGCAAACGCTATCAGTGATCCAACATTAGGATTGATTGCTCTGAGACCAACTGATTTAGGATCATTCGAAATTGGAGATCGCGCATCTACTGCAGGATTACGTAAGTAATATATTCTAGAGCAATCCATTAGAAATATTGTCACGAACGGTCTTCGATCGCTGAAATTGTTTAAAATATCTTGTAAGTTAATTGCACGTCGATTTAGGTCTGGACTATGTATACAATCATTATCTGCTGGTATGATATAGTTCACATCCTAAAAGCATTGTATGTAGCATTCGCTTCGAAACGATGAAAAATAGCTTCGTATTCAAAAGTCTAAGGTACTTACTTCCCATTGTGCTCCATGTCCAGCAAAAAAAAACAATATTATGTCTCCCGATTCTATTGATTCTTCAAAATCAATAATAGCATGTTTCATCGCTACACGTTTGAGATTTAGTTTCTTCGTAACTATAAAACCGATCGTCTCCAAGGCAGACGACATATCATTTGCATCATTTTCTGGATCTTCTAATTTTTGACCATCTTCATAATCGCCGATGCCGATTACAAGTGCCAGTTTGCGACGTCGGCCATATGTAATCTCATCTCTTGCGTTTTTTGGCATGTACATGTCTAAGGGTATAGGCATCACAATATAGGTCTAAAGGGATAGTTATAAAGCTCTAGGTCCAAGAATGTAGTCATGAGGTTATAGTTACAAGAATTTCGATGTTATTATATAGGCATAAGGGTTTAGATATGACGGTGTGAATGTCGATGTGGATATAGCTGGAGAGAAGAAAAGTATCTGCAAGCCCATACACATTGTCTCATACTTATTATCCGTAAAAATCAGTTTCTGATAATGAAAAATCTCGAATAAGAGCCATTTTTAATATTTTTTATGAAAACGGCCTTGTTCTATAAAGTATCAGTAGGTGGCTGACCTCTCTGGTTTTCTTTGTTTTGATTGAAATTAGTACATTCTATAGACGTAGTCTGAGCGCTATTTTTGAGAAAGTTTGTACTTTCTGTAGTAAGGTTGGTGGAAAAACGAGCTATTGCGTTGAAACCATGTCTCAGGATCCATAAAAAATTATGGTACTATTCGAACCTGAAAGTCCATTATCTATCTCAACGAAAGATGCTGAGTATCAACCGTCGATAAGCATCTTGTGAAGCAAATCAGTTAGCATTTGCTACTTCTCCTCAAATTCAGAAACAATTATTTGGTGTAAAAGAATTCAAGGGTATCAAGTACAGCTAAGAGAACGAATATGCAGACATGGTAAAAAATGAGGATATCGTTCGGAATTGTTGTTCTCCGAGTCACGACGTGGAAAAGTATATGAACGTGATCAATCACTCTGATACTCCACTGCTTTTTATGTGTAGCTTCATCCAGATATCAGAAAAATGATGTTTTTTACCAGTTATAGTGCATATATAATGCTAATCATTCGTTATTGTTTGATCTCTATGCCTTATTAGAAACAAGATCTGTCAAGTGTTTCCTTATAATCATTTTTTTAAATTTATTTTGCACCTATTTTATTATCATACATCAATTATTATTCTGGAACTATTGTGTAGTACTTCGATTGACGAAACTTTACAATCCATATATTTAACGCCTAGCCTGGTCCAAGACTGTCATGAGATTCGTGGCTCTCCCAGTTGAATAACGGTACAGATATTGAAATGAAAAGTTTTATCGATCAACGACTGACTTAAAGTCTATAAACAAAAATAACTCGAGTTATACACATCCATGTTGGTTCAGGAATGCACTGATTCCATGATACACGCATATCGTCATCTGAGAGGCAGACGACGAAGATGATATTCTTTTTTCTTTCTCATTTTTTTCTTAACGTTGTCTTGTTCTCAGTATATATTTCGTGTGCGATGGCATTTCATTCATTCTAACCAATCTTTGTGTTTCAGTCACATCATCCTCATTCTAACTTTGATCTTCTTCTTCTCCCATTGTTCATTCTTCTTTTTCTTCAACACTATTTCACTTGACCTCAAATGCTTATATCTTCGTATTATGTTCTCATCACAAATTGAGTGGAGTTGTTCTCAATGTCAATCTTCCACGACTGATCATCGAAAAAACTGTATCAACTGTCGCTCGATGTTAATTTGGACATACATTGGCTCAAGTTTATCTGGCTTGTACACGAATTATTATCGTCAGCGCGGTAGTTGTAGTTACTGTACAGCAGAACTCGAAGAAGACAGACAATAGAAAAACTCGTCTCAGTAAACCGATGATATCTATGACAAATCTATAGATGGTTTATTAATCGAAATATGTAATTTTGTAGAGGAAGAGTAGAGCTATTATCTGAAAACAAATACTTCGAAATGCATAAATGTAGTACAATGTTATTGCCATTTTACTAATCTTTAGCGAATATTTGCACCTTAGGTTTTTTGGAAAAAAATTAAATTTTTTTTTATACTAAAAACAAATTTGAACGATATCAAGGTAAAAGGCCACCAAAAACATTTAGAGTGGCAGATGAATGTATTGTCATTGCGAAAAATTTATGGTTGGTCAGCGAATAAAATTGCTTCAGAATTATGGAAATATTATACACTAAATAATGTCAGCAAAAGTGGATTCCTGTTGTTTGTTAAAAAAACAATTAAACGTGGTACTGCCCAAGACCCTCCTAGATCAGGAAGCCCCAAAACCGCAAGAACCATGTTAAATATTACAGAAACTCGTGAAAGACATCTGAACAAGCAAAATCCAGGTCAAAAAGCAACAGCTCAAAAACTGAACATTTGCCAATCATCAGTTCAAAGTATTTTAAAACATGACTTGACGTTAAAACCTTATCACAAAACACGTATTATCCTGAATTACAGAAATACATGCTACAGCAAGATTGGATAGTGCAAAAATAATATTGAGAAAATATGGAAGAAGCAGAAGATCCAAATATTACACATGGAATAAAATGATAATCACAGATTTTTGTGGTAAAATAGGAGTCAGACAAAAAAACAACAGCAAAAACAATATTGTTTATGGAGATGATAAACGTCCAGTACCAAGTCAATTCTTATACGTATCGGAAGAAAAATTTGAGAGAGGGTTCATGTTATGGGATGGAATAAGCAGCAAAGGCTTAATTCCAGAATCACCATTATTTATCGATGAATTTTTGGATCAGTATGAATGGAAAAAAGGTGCTAAGAAAACAATGAATGCCGCTCGATACATTGATTTATTAGAAGTAGTTGGTGTACCTCCAATGAACCAATTGTTTCCAGGTAATGATTATATTTTTCAAGATGATACATCTAGTATTCACCGTTCACTTGCTGTTATAAAATTTGTAGAAGAAAATATACCTGAATGTATCGATATTGATGACAAAGTCGCCAAAATGGATGATATATGGCCAATAGAAAAGTTGTGGAGCATCATTCGACAAGATTTAAGTAAGTATGAATTTAGTTCATTAAATGATATCAAACAAAAAATTATCGATATATGGAAAAACTTTAGTGAAGAAAAATGTGAGAAAATTATAAAGAGTATTCCAAAAATGTTACAAGGAATCGTCCAAAAACAAGACCAACACATTACACAATTTGATTATTATTAATATTTATACAAGATGTCAAGCCGATAAACTTATAGATCATTAAGATATTTTATTGAAAAAAGGTTTTTTCAAAAAATGTAAGATGAAAATATTTACTCAAGATTAGTAAAATGGCAATAACATTGTACTACATTTATGCATTTCGAAGTATTTTTTTTCAGATAATAGCTCTACTCTTCCTCTACAAAATTGCATATTTCGATTAATAAACCATCTATAGATTTGTCATAGATATCATCAGTCTACTGAGAGGGGTCGAAACTTGTTGATCACCCTTTAGGTACTGTTAACTATCTCAGGCTGCGTGTGTGGATGTGGCAAATCTATAGACAAATACCCACATCCTGGTTCTATAATTAGAGACGCCCAAAAAGTCTCACCAGAATAGAAAAATTTTCGAAGAACTGACGTCTCAAATATAGTAGAAAACCTAGCTTATTACCTAAATCAAGATATTTATTCAGAATCGTACCTAGTTTTCAACGGTCTCAACGAAAAATCAATGAAGACTGCCTAGGGTGACAGAATCGACGAAAAAACAAAACTGTGACAACTTTCGAATACGTTCTCAACCGTTGATAATTCTGACCTAATATAACTTGGATTAGCATGCGGTTTCATCGTGTTCCTTGCGTTAGATCTTCCGACGTGTTTTCATAATTCGAGGTTTCTTGAGAAATTTTTGTGACGATTACTTAGCTGTTCATTTTTTTGTCACTCTAGGTATGGGTGTAGGTGAAGAGAGACATAAGCCACCCTAAGCACACTCTATCATCTATATGAACACTATTGATTAATAAGAAGAAAATGTTCAGAAAAACTTGAATGACAGAATTCAATCTAAAAGACTAGAGCAAAGCATATCACGTTAAGTATGAAGACAGAATGAGAAACGATGCCTCATTTCACGTTGCTGAGTTAAGAATGAAGCGAACGTTGAGCAAGAAGGTAAAGATAAGAATGAGCTGTGCGCTAGTTCTTCCAAAATTGTTCTTCTGAAATCAGACTCAATTTTGCACTGCCATTAAATCGTACACATGGAAAATTGGGTATCAAATTTTACTAGTCTTGTTTGATTTCAATCAAAGCTTTATCACTTACCCGATGCTTTTTCGCACAAATATATATCATCTTCCGTTAGTAAACCATCGACATAGTGTGGT